TGCCTGGAGTCACACTGCGGATCTCTCCTTTCTTGGGGATCAAAGAAATTGGTGGTCAGTTGCTATTTGGGACAAGGTTAGATTTTAAATGACACCCTAGAGAGAAATCTTAGCGACTCATTTTAGCAACTCAGGATCTGCACTGGATAAAATGCTTTCTCTATTTCCATAATTTCTATATTTATATGTCATTCAGCATACTGTATAGCTGAGTGATTCAAGAAAAACAAATAGAGAGAGCTATCCATAATATAAATAATTCTACATTTTATCAAAGCGGAAATACATATCTGTGGTTAGAGTGAGCCCACCTATTGAAGTGATGGGTTCTTTCAAACCGAAATGGAATGCTATCAGGGAGCATGAAAAGATGATAGCAACACAGTGGAATGATAAGACTCTAGCATAGTGCTCCTGGGTTTCGGATTATAAATGTCATAGAGTGTTGAGAACCTACTGGGTGTATTGCTGTGAATATAACTTTAATGGTTTCTTGGGACAAGCATAGTTATTCCCTTCAAAGAAGCATAAAAAGATATTGCATGCCAAAGCAAGATTTAAAATAAAAATTAAAATTAGAACACACACTCACAGACCAATATCTAATTCTAATTAAAGTGGGGATTCTGTAGGAAACTAAGCAGGTGTGGGCTTTAGCTGTGACACTTGAATCTGCCAGCTGGTAGGGTGACAGTCAGATGCTTGTTTACTCTCTTATATCCAAGACCACTTAATGTTCCAGGGAGGAAACAAAGTAGAAACAATAAACAAAAACTGTGTCTACTGGGCTTGTTGTGGAAACTGATTTTTCCAGAGAAGCAGAAGATGGAAAATTTACTTTCCGAATCTAATTTGGCCACAGCTAGCTTCTTTACTGTCATACACAGGATCAATTAGATTAAATGACTCTTTTAAGTCTCTGCTGAGCCTATTCCTTTTAAAACTATGTACTGTATCATTTGTGGATGGATGTAGGCATGCATGTGTGTGAGTGTGTATATAGACATTCTTTCAACTCTTAAAATGCACTACCTTTATACCAACTTGCAATGAATGTTTAAAGGATTTAATGCATTTGCTGTCTTGTATCAGAAGAATGATGGGAGATTAGATGAGGAAAAAGGGCTTTTGGCACAGCTTGCAGGCTGTTATTTTCACCAACTGTGGTGTCAGCTATGATCTTTTTACAGTGTTTCTGACTATGGGGCCTCTTAGCTAGAGATTCCTGGGTTTCTGTGATTTCATTTTTTTTTTTTTTAAATAAAAAAGATGAGAATATTTTTTCATGCTTTTACTGAGCACCCACTCTGTGGAGAGTTTTAAACTAAGATGGGGGGGGCGTTGAAGGAAAGGAACAGAACTCAATGTAAGAGGTTATCTTAGCTGTAGAGTTTTCCTAATGCAGAAAAGAATAACTGAATATACTGTCGGGCGAAGGGAGGTATTGGCAGAAACAGCAAATAAACCTCAGAATGCTCTATGTTGAAGTCATTGATCTGGTATGCATGCCCTTTAAGCCCAAGAAACTTCTGAGCATCCATCTGTGTTGCGTGGAATAGGCCCAGCAGCATTTATTGAGTACCACTGTGTGCCTTGCACAGGTACAGGAAGTAGGGTTTCGAGTCAAACTGGTTTAGTTCAAATCTCAACCCAAATGCCTGCCAGTAATGTGTTACCTGAACAATTTTACCTAACCTTCCTAATTCACAGTTTCCTCCTCATCGAAGCAAACTGTCTCACAGGATTTCTTTGAAGGGTAAAAGTGTACTGCTAGCATTGTGAAGATATTTCACACGAGAGGAAAAAAATTAATTGTTGGTAGAAAAATCCTGAAATATTTCAAAACTAAAACTCTCAGGAAAAAAAAAAATGTTTTTGATTGCTGATCTACTGCCATAGAAGTTTAACTAAAGCGACAGCTTTTCTCATTATATCCCAGAGAAACAAAACGAGTAATTTGAAGATAATTATGGAATTCCAGTCCGAGGGTGGACGGTGTGGAAGAAACAGGGGATGCCTCCTTCTCTGTGGAGGTGACAGTTGAGGTGACACAGGCGTCCTCTCAGGCACCTCCTTCATCGGACTATGCACGGGGAGACAAGGCAGTGACTTCCTGACTTTCTCAGCGACGCCACACAAGAGGCAGACAGGAACTCACTAGCCGAGTGACTTTTTTCTTCCATGACCAGAACAAATATCTACTTAAATAACCCATTTTGAAACCAGCAGCCTGAAATTTTAAAATAATACAGTGTCATAGCTCTTATGAACCAGAAGGAAAGAACCTGAGAGCCGTGATGTACATTGGGTGAGATGTCACTGCATTAAAATGGGTCTAGCTGTCCTCGCCCCCGTCACCCTTTCTGTCTCTGTCTCTCTCCCTCTCTCTCTCATTCTTTCTCTGCTTCATGTAGGAGGTGTGTGTGTGTATGTGTATGTAAGGGGAGGTTATCTTTCCTTCCACATGTTTCTATGGAGCCTAGTCCATAAAGCTTAAGACAGAAATATTTTTTTAAAAAAATTTTTTGAAATTATATATATATATATATATTAAAAAAATTTTTTGAAATTATATATATATATATATATTTTAAAAAGCCAGTCTTCAAATTGTAGGCACTTACATTGAAGGTGGAGGAACAGAACCTACCAAGAGTTGTGAAAAACATGTACAAACTGTAGGATGATGACAGTATTTAGGTGCTTTAAAGGGAAACTTAAGGATTTAGTCAAATCAGAAAAAAATATAAAGCATTTGGAGTAATGAAAATAGTCTTTCTTTTAAAAAGGTGAGGGTGATCAGTGTCTACTTTATCTGGGTATTAGAGAGGAAGCTCAGGAGATCATTGGTAGGAAGGAAAACTACATATTTGTCATCAGGGAGGCGCATCAGGCTCCTTGGGACACTTGTCATGGCCTTACCCGGTTTCTACAGAACCAGCTCAGCCTTGTGGCCCACAAGGAAGCAGCCTACAAGTGATTCCTTTGGGCTTGGCGGGGAGATTCTCCTCTGGTGCTCGGCTCTCAGCTCTGGCATGACTGAGGAGAACTCGAAAGGAAGAAGGTCAGCGCCAGTTTGGGAGAGTGTCGCCGTGCTGACTGACTGACTGGCCTCCGGTCACGGATGACACTCTTATTAATGAGGAACGACTTCAGCCAGAGACAGAAATGTGACTCGGACTAACATGGGGATCCCGGGTCTCCTTAAAACTCTGGCAAGTTGTTTCTGGTTCCTTTGGAATAGCTCTGTCTGCAGCTCCTGATGTTTCCACAGAATCCCTAGGGTTTTTACTTCATTCAGGTGTTTGACTTTTGTGTTAAACCTAAATATCTTGTTAAATATTACAGGGGCTAGTGATTATTATTTTTATTTTTATTTTTTGGTCTGAGTATATCTCACTTTTGTGGGCAGAGATATTTGGAAGGGGTCGATCTTGTGGAGAAGACTGTCTGGGAGGAGACATTTAGTCATAATACAGGCCTGCTTCCAGATGGGCAGCATGGAGTCCCTTTGGCCTCATTCCTCAGTTTCTGATTCCTTATGTACCCACTAGGACTGGTCGTTTACAACAAGAGCTATTCTTTACTGAGACTTCGCGTCAGCACTTTGCTCAGCACCTTTTATACATCATCCACTTAAATCTCACAGCAATCCTAATGAGGTAGATTTTATTAGTTTCATTTCCACTATGATGAAACTGAGACCACATCACGTTAAGAAACCTGACCAAGGTCATACCGCTGATCCACTGGGATTCAAACTCTCGACCAGCCTGCTCTATCTTGCTATCCATCCACAAGGAGGAGTTGACATTTAATTAGGGGGACTTTTAAAATACTTCAAATATGATAAAAATAAAATAATATATAGATACATAGAAGGTGTTATTTTCCATACAACACAGGAAGGAAATTCTAGTTCTTGACCCTTGAATTTAGGACGTAATGTTCCATCGTGGATTGTTTGTCACAGCCCGTCCGTGTGATTAAAGTACCTTTGAGCAGACGGTGCACTTGGTGTTTTGTACCACATTCTGCAGCCCAGTTCCTGTCCTCACAGAGCCTCTGGGTGGGACTCGAGAAGAGCAGGAGAGGCGTGGCTGGTGGCTGCCTCACCTGGCCTCCATGCCTTTGGCCGGCTCCCATCTTTGCTTACCTGTATTAAGACAATTTTGTGGGAGAAAGTGAGCTTTTATCTCGGGGGAAGCAGTGATTGTCCTAGTGGTTCAATGTCAGCACCCTGGACTACAGAACAATGTGTTTAATTGTTTTGTGGTCAAAGTAAAGCTTACTGCAGAGAGCCAGGTCCCCTGCGGGTCACGGGACTGTGCACCACTGGGGACAAATGTCCCCCAGGCCTGTCTGAACTAGACTCAGGAGTTGGCAGGGTTTGAGGGAGACCCTGGAGGACAAAGAATTTTGAAAAAGACACATGTCAAAACATTAACACTAATCATTTTCAGAAGACTCCAAAGTGTGACTTTGACATAAAAGGAGTTCAGAATGTAGGAGGAAGAATTTCGGTCATATGGGAGAAACCAGACTGTCTTCAACATTCAGAGGCCATCTCTACTCTCACCTGGCTGAGCTCACAGGGTTGGAGAGGTGTGTTGCTACTGTGTTTCCCCAAAAATAAGACCTACCCATAAAATAAGCCCTAGTAGGATTTCTGAGCATTTGTGCAATAGAAGCCCTACCCAGAAAACAAGACCTAGAGATGGGCGTGGCTACGCAGCGCATCTGCACAACCCATGCGTTTATTTCATCGAGGAGCATTAAAGAAGACAAGCAGCCCTTCTCATTTGCCCCATGAGAGCTCTATTGCTCGACATGAGAGATTGGGGCCAATGGTTCTAAAGGAAATGGAGTCGCAAGAAATTCAGGGTGGAATTTGGGGTTTGGAGAGTTATGATGATGTTCCAGAAGAAGACGACTTAACTCTATTTGAATAAATGTAGATTGTTGTACTGTACTTTAAAAAAATAGCACATCCCCTGAAAATAAGCCCTAGGGTGTCTTCTTGAGGAAAAATAAATATAAGACCCTGTCCTATTTTCGGGGAAACATGGTAGTTAGCTAAGGTTGGAAATGGCCTGTTTTAGAATGAGTAGACCTGGGCCCCACGGAAGAGGGGACAGGTGCTTCTGCCCAGGGGGGCAGGGAGAGTAAAGGGCTAGGACGCAGCAGGACTTTTTTGCTTTCACTGTCATCTCTCTGTCCTGGGCATGGGCCACTTCATCTCCCTTAGCAGGCTCCACTCTGGGCAAAGCCCTTGCTGAGGACTTGACACAGCACTCAGCCATTGCTAATGAGGTTTCAGGGGTGCCTTTCTAATATAAATAAAGGATTATAGGTGCACCCCCTTTTAATCTCCCCCTCCCTCCCGTAAGCCTTAGTCATGGGTTGCTGCAGGCACGTGGCCACAGGGGACCGCCTATGCCTAAGGCTATCAGTGGAGATAGCTATTTAAGAGGTTTTACTTTTACATCTGAGCAGCCAAATTGTGCATGTAACAATGGGGACCAATTATTGCACAATAGAGCATCCCCGGTGAAACATAGAGTGTGTGTGTGTTTAATATGCAGTGAATGACACCATCTTTTCCTAAACAATGAGAACATTTCCATAGCATTTGGGAGAAGGGGAATTCCATTTTTAAAGTTTCAATTGTTTGTGAACATGATAGGTGCTATCATTTCATCCCGGGGTTTCAAAACAATTGCTGCCAAATAATGAAACAAATAATAAAATATCTCCATTTAGGTTCATGTATAGAAGACACAGAACTTTTCCAGGTTGGAGTATCATTTATATACCCTTTTTTTTTTTTTTGGGAAGCATGATCCTGTTGGGTTCTATTTTATCTCCAGTTCAAGCCATTACAATGTTGAACAGTTTAAAACACTTTAAAAATCCATCCTATTGACAGCTGTTGTCTAGTCGTCCTGAACTGAACATGAATCTTGAGTTGAGAATCCTCATTTCACTCAAGGTTCTCAGAGTCTCCTGTTTTAACCTCCATCAGACGTTACTGGGAAGAATGCTATCCTCTCAGCATATTTTATAGACGAAAAAGTGAGGCCCAGAAATGTTAAGGGATCTCATCCAAGATCATAAAGTGAAAGAACTTTATGAATGGCTAGTGGAGAACTTACTGAAAATTTAATTTACAATAATTAAAAGGCAATGAAAGTAGGAGAAGCAAAAATTCAACATGTAGCTTGTTAAAGAAGGCATTTCTATTAGAAAATCGTGATTAGCATTGCATTCTTTCTGTAATGTGGGAGCATATTTTTTTATTGGTCAAATTTAAAGTGGCCAATGCGTCTTTGTTTGCCCAAGCTGAGGATCAGAGAGACTAAGGAATACGCCCAAGGTCAGCAGACCCGATACTAGAACTCGGATCTCTAGACTTGCTAGTGGCTTTCTCAGCACACTGCGAGGTTTCTCAGTTATGGAAAGTGGTATTGATGACCTTGTATCTGGGGATCATAGGAAAATAGTCGATTTTCTGGTAATAGTGGCGTGTTTATCCCATTTCACAGCTTGGTGTGTGCTCCTACTTATGATCTGTGACAAATGCACGAGAGGTCTGATTTTAGCACTACAGAGAGTAGAAAGTCCCGTGTTCTGGAAATCTCTCTGTCCTGGGTGCAGTGGGATGGTTGGGCACCATAAATCCCACCCCCAACCCAAGATAGGCTATACAATTAGGTTAAAATAGTCATATTTCCCCCCTAAGCTAAATTTCTTTATGCTAAGCCATTTTTCCTTAAGAGGGAACCTCAACTCTGTGAGGTGGAAATGTCGGTGAGCTTTGCTGCTGCCATGGTTAGACATAAGCATTGAGTATGGACTTCCCTTCTTTTGCTGGAATTCTTTTATCCTCTCCCATCACCTTTGGGGCAATGGCGGGAATATGGCCATGGGCGGGGGAATTCTTTCCCAGTGTGTTTTCTTAGGTACTGTGTTGAAAGCTTTGGGTATTACTCTAGTACTCAAACCCTGTGGGGAGAGGTGTGAGCAGTGGTTGGCAAACTTTCTCTGTAAAGGCCAACATAGTAAATATGTCAGTCTTTGCTGGTCACACGTGGTTTCCAAAACATAGTTTTGTTTTGTTTTTTTTAAACAACTCTTTGAAAACGTAAAAACTATTTTTAGCACTCAGGGTTCATAAAAACAGGCCAAGGACCAGATTTTAGTTGGTCAAATTCTCCTAGAGCGTGGCTGTGCAACAGGAATATAGTGTGAGACGTGTTTTTAATGTTACATTTTCCAGTAGCTACATTAAAAAAAGTAAAAAGAAATAGGTAATTTAGATTTTAATAATTTGTTTTATTTATCCTAAATATTAGCATCTCGGTGTAACCAATAGAAAAATTATTAAGAAGCTATTTTGCACTTTTTGGTATATATCTTTGAAATCCAGACTAGCCACATTTCAAGTGCGATAGCCACCACAAGTGGCCAGTGGCCGCCATGTTGGACAGCATAGGTCTGGAGCATCTTCTTAGCATGTAATTTGATGAATGCTCAGCTTCTCTCCTCTGCATTATTGACAGTGAACACAGAAAAAACGAAGATCTTAGAACTGGGAGGGGGCTTAGAGATCTTCTAGTCTAACCCTTCATTTTGTAAACGAGGAAGGTGAGGATCCAAGAGGCCAAGCAATATTGCCCAAGATCACTCAGCTGGGTTAGCAGCAGAGCTGATACTAGAACTCAGATCTCTAGACCTACTCATGGCCTTCTCACCAACCACACTGTGAGGGTTCTCAGTTGCGGAAAGTGGTATTAAAGACCTTATACCTGGGGATCATAGGAAAATGGTTGATATTTTGGTAATGGTGGTGTGTTTATCTCATGCATAGCTCGGGGTCTAGTCTTGCTTATGATCTGTGGCACATGTATGTAAGGTCTTGTTGGGAAAAGGTGTGTTTGTTGTCTATGGCCATAGCGAAGAGTGAAAGGAAGGAAAGGCCCATGCTTTGATCACCTGGACAGGTAGATGAGGGAGAGGAAGGGAGAGAGAGAGAGAGAACCTCTTTGTGGGCCACTGCTTTGGCACCATCTTATTCTCTCCTACCTAGGCAGCATCCTAGACAGATGAAGGGTGCAGTGTCTGGCTGGCGTCTGCTGTGCTAGGTTGCCAAGCTCCAGTTGTTCCCTTTTTCCTGCCTGGGCAATGCCTGTCCCTGTGCTACAGGGAGGACTAAGCTGAGTAAATATTAGTTGTGTAATCGGAGTAAATAGAAGAAAGATAAGTTTTATTGCTTTGTAAGTAACCTCAAGCCCGTGCCTTTCTTTAGGCATGCCTTACTTTTTGTTCAATGTGCATTTTTCTTTTTTTGGACCTGACTCCTTTTCTCTTCACTTAAGGCAATTGCAGACCAGCTAAAGAATTTTATGAATAGGAAAGCCCTGTAGTGCATTTAGCTTGGGAAAATGTCCCCTAGAATAGATTGTTTCTGAGTCAAGTGTATAAATATTCTGGCTCAAGACTATAACCTTTTTTCTTAATGAATTGGTCTGGCGGTAGTTAAAGCCAAGTGTGGTCTAGCAGAGTGCTCCAGAGAGAAAATTGAATGGACACAAAGCCCAGTCATAGTTTTCAACTTTATATAACGCGTTTCGCAACCTATTAGAAAATTAGCTTTGTGACAACTGGCAGGACCTGTTGTGTCAGTCGGTCAGTTTGGAAGCGGCTCAGTGTCTTCTCTTCCTTCACCTGAGCCTCCCTACTTAGTGAATTTTGAAGACACAAACAGCAGCCGTGGGCCCTGCTCCGTTTCCTGGTAAGTCATTCAAGTTTATCTTTCCTTATGGTCGGTTTCTGAGCTAGTGAGTATAAAAAAAGAATTTTTCACGGACTACTTTATAAAACGGCTGCTAATCAATTTTTCTTATTATTTTATGCCCTCTGCTTTTATACTACCCCCACCAGCTGGTTAATCATGCAAAAGCTGAACACTTCATTAGCTAGTACATGTTCGCCCATGGGCATTTCTGTAGTAAATTAGTTCTTTCTATTTATACAGGTAAGTCATGGCCAAAAGTCTTATAAGATGCCAAAGGTAAGGGTTAGAATTAATTTCTTTTTTTTTTCTTTTTAGGTTTTTTTTTTTTAGAGAACTCGTTTTAAAGTCTGAGCTGTAGTTATGCACAGATACTTTTGAGCTAGAAGTGAAATGGAGGGGAGATATTTTTTGGGGGGTCTAGGGTTATGATATAGGGATGGCTAATGTAGCTTTGGTGCAATGCTTGCACTTCAGAAAGCAGGGGCATAGGGTACAATACTTGGTATTTTTTCAAGACTGGGCCTGAGAACTAATGTGAAGAGGCTCTTTCAATTGGGTATATGGCCCATGAGCAAATCCATTAACTACATCTGTATTTTTTTTTTTTTTTGGGCCATTTTGTACAAATTTCCAAGAATTGAAAAATACTCTTCACCAATTTTATTTTGTCAGAAAGACTACCTATATTGTTGTAGGGAAATAGTGATGGTGGACTCCTAAAATGTGCTATTTCTAAAGACATAAAATTCAACCTAGAAATTTTTCTCACCCCTCTCTTGGAGGGAATTATTTTCACAATGGGTTCTGCCATTTTATGAAGTCACCCAATGGGCAAAACTTGGGTCCCTTCTGCACTTGGCATCAACTGTCTTGATGAGTCTGTCCTCCAAAGGGGCAATGGGCTTGTTTGTCTACCAGCCACAGTGCTCTGCAGGTGTGAGTAGAGTTTCTACCTCCAGTGTGGGTTCTCTTAGTCTTTCTATTTTCTGCAGAGCCTTCCCAGCAGAAGAAGTTTCTGACATCATCTGCTCTCGTGGTTTCCTGCGTGATGTTTTAGGTTCTTCCAGGTCTCCACATGGAGTGGGACATAGAGCCCAAATTAATTTCTTCCACAAAGCTGAAATAAGATGCTATTCTGTAAGATCTATGTCCCTTATAGATTATATTAAGAGAGGGTACATACATTGGTAGAGGAGATTGAATGGCGGGGGGGGGGTGTAATATAGAAATTCTAGGAGAGGGAAATGCAAGGTCAAATATACTCATCATTTGAGCTTTTGTGATTCTTATTACAGTTTCTAGAAAATGGAGATGAATATCAGTTGATGGTTGGTTGTGCTTTCCTAACTCTGGTAGTAGGGTATGAGTTTAGGAAACCTTGATGGGCACAGGCTAAATTGACACAATGATTATGCACAAGTGACACTCGTGATAGAGAAGGCTGCTTTCATTTGTTTAGCCATTAAAGGTCAAGTGTTGTCCTATATTGTGTTATGTTGGCTTTATTCTGTCATATCTTTATGCCTGGAGTTTTCACAAAATCCCCATCCTAAAGTAGGAACACAAGCTTTACCTCGTGTGTTCCACCTCCCTTCTGATCTGCAGTAGCTTCTTTTTGTATGGTGTGCTGATGGTTGCTGGAAGTGAACTTTTTCTTTTCACTGATAGCTTTGATTCTAGTTTAATGGTGTGGTTTGTGGCTCTCTGCTTGCAGTTTCAGTTCCTGTTTAAATACTGAAATCTATTGTTTGTCTCCATTTCTAGACAACACAATTGCATTGCTAACTGGCAGGAACAAGTAAGTGTACAACATTATGAAGAAATAAAGGTTCCAGGCTCTAATATTTAACTCGATTTCTAATTACACTGAATCCCCTCTGTTAGGGTGGTTTATAAAGGCTGAGGAATGCATGTAACAAAGAACCAGGGTATAAGGAGTGAGGGCAGTAATTCAGGGGGGGTTTGGTGAGCTTGTCTTCTCTAAAGGGGCTGCTTGGCATTGGGCAGAAGATTAGTGACCATTTCTTCTGTTTATAATGTGGGCTCAAGCCATCTCCATTCTTTTCTGGCTACTGGAGATAGCAACAAAATCATTCTCTGTAGTTTTGTCAGAAGAATTATAGTTGTTAGGAAGTTCTTGGGGACAGTATATTGGGGGACTAGGATAAACATGTGGCCTTTGTGATGGGAGATTTTTTTCTTTTGAATTTACATAGAACATTTAAAATTATTACCTTTAAAGATACATCTTGTCCACTGCTTTTGGAGGACTTGATAGGCCAGTAAAACCTAGAAAGGAAAAAAGTATTGCATGGTCAGAGAAAATCTGGCTGTTGAATAAAACCATGAATACTACAGACTGGGCTCTTTGGGGGAGGGTGGGGAGGTCTCAGCCAGGATCGGTAGGAAGGTCATCCCTTTTGATGGGACACAATTTTTATAATAGTAAGGCTCCACGTGGAATGTTTTTGTCAAGCAAGTCATCCATAAGGCACCATAGGCATTTGTGTTTAACAGTATGTTTCAGGCTGCAAAGTTAATGCAGTTAATATTCAACTGAACTTCTGGTCTAGGGGTTACTAGTCCCGTAGGCACATTTGCCAGAAGAGGCTACACATTAATAGCACTCCAAATTAGACACTACCAAGTTGACAGCCACCTATGCTATGAAATGTAAAACATTCCACCATTTCGGCCAAACTCAGGCCAAGGTGCTGTTTAATACACTTGTAAGCTGGAGCCCTGGCCTTCTCCGAACCCAGAACTCTTTGGGAAGAAGCGGATAGCCTGGAGTATGTGAACATTTTACATGCTAGCTAATTAACAGGGAGTGGCGTCTTTAAAGCTCTTGACATTTGCAGGGTCTTCCGATAAGTGTGGCCGATTCGGTTCTGATTCTCTGCTGAGTTTCATTGAAACGAAGCATTTCTTGGCATCTCTTCCTTTGCCTTAAAGGAAAAGATGTTCTGTCACTCCATGTGGCCAACGGGCTGGATTTGGGAGGGAGTCAGCAGGTAGAGCCACGGCTGTCGCACGGGTCACAGGTCAAGCTCTTTTCGTGCCTCCAACTCAGATAGGAATTAAGTCACGAGTTGCAGAAAGTTCTGTGGGGCTCAGCAGGCCAGATGAGAGGTCGGGAAACTAAAGGCAAGGTGTTCAGTCACCACGCACAGCTGACCTCAATGGGGAATAGTGGGGCAAAGGCTATTCTCTGCTGGGGGTCGTGGGCTTAGCTTTTTTCATTGTTTTACAGGAATTTCCCTTTTTCAGCTACTTCTTCTCTCATCTCAGGCCATGTATCAGTCCAGATAGGAATAATTTGTAAAAGGGAAAAGAGAGAAACAGAATGCCAAATGATTTACCATGACTATGGAAATTAAATGGTAGTGTAACTATATAACCATATATGAGATGTGTTCTAGAACGGGGATTTCCTAGGGCGTTGGCATGGCCCTCCCTCTTAAAAATGACTGATTAGTATAATAAGCATTCCCTAGATATTTTTCAGGGCACTTGACTTTGGTTGTGTCCTGATCCTGGGTTTCTATAATGTAGATATGAACTGACTGCATTTGGACCCTCCTACATCAGGGTATGGCCCCATACAAGAGATCAAGTTTGTAGAGATCACTGCTTTACTGGTGAACAGCCTTGGTAGGTGGGAGGAAAAACATTAGCGTTTGAAAATGCCTAAAATAGAGTTTTCAATGATCTATGGACATTCTTTGCTTTCCCCACTGCCATTGACCAAATCAGTTAATTCTCTTGTGTGTATACTTTTTCTGCAATGCATAATGATTTATTTACTCTAGAAGTTAGAACCAAAAGCCCTGGACTGACTTTTTTTTTTTAGGATTTCTTTTTTAAAACAAAAAACAAAACAAAATACAGAGATTTATTTTTGGCTGCAACTATTTGAAATAGACGTCACCCTACTGAGCTTTTATTTTTAATGACTGAAACTGGCAAAATCCTTCTCCAGGAACATATGCTAAATAATTCCTGCCTTGTTTTCGCAAAACAAAAGCACTCCGTGGATGACTTTCTCTTACTCCCTAGATTTCTAAATAACTTTTTTGAACCTGATCATGCTACAGACTTCAGGGTTGCTCGTGGTCCCCGGCAGGATAGTGCGGAAGTTCGGGAGAGTTTCTAAGCGGGGAGTTCCCAAGCCAGTGACCTGGCTCAAATGGTGGCCTCGTTACTCAACCTCTTCAAGCCTCAGTTTCCTCATATGTAAAGTGGGAATGTTGGGATGTTTTTAAAGTATTACACATCTCTGCAGCTAATAGGCAGAGTAATCTCAAGCAAGTCGTCTAATCTCTCTGTGCCTCAATTTGCTCATCTATAATGAAATGGAGAGAATAATAGTACCTACTTCATAGGGCTGTTGTGAAGATTAAAGGAGGTGGTGACTATTAAAGCACTCAGAATAGTTTCTGGCATAACAAGTGCTGTATAAATATTTGGCGTTATTATTCCTACAGCTGTTAGGAAGGAAGCCCTGAGGCATAGTCAGGGGAAAGTAAAAGATAATAAAGATTGAAGCAGGTGAGAAGAAATGGAAAGAAGAAAGGAAAGATGAGGCACAGAGAAGAAGATAAAGATTTAAGAACCCAGAATTGCATTTGATGGTGAATGGTTGAACGATGCTCATGTTCCCAGGCTTCAGTGTCTGCATGTGTTTTACATGGAAATTGGAGTGGGTGGGTATGGAGTGGGTGATGGAGAATGTTCTTCTTGGTTCTAACCCCTGTTGGTGCCATCTGAAGCAGCTTGACAAAGACTTCCCACCTGTCCTAGCCTGAAGTTATGTACAACTCTAAAATTTCTTTGGAAACCCTATATGGTTATGTCTCCGCTGTTAATCATAAAACCATTGTCTTCCAAATGCACTTTTTAGATTTATGATATCTTGAATTTCTTGGTATGTCATGATCATATCTTTTAGCTGCCATCTCTGTTTAAAAAGGTGGCTCATCTACTCACCCTTCACCATGCGTGGTGGCTTTTCACAGACCGATCTAGAACTGTTAATAACCATTTCTGAGGAGGAGTCAGGGACAGTTGATGTTTGACAGAGATGGTCTTCACCACGTTCTGAATTATTATTAGGTGGGCAAATGTCCCCCTTTCCCATTCCTAACCTTTGGTTTGAAGGCTGGGGGGAGGGGAGTGGCAGGGAATAATCATATTACAGCAGAGACACTCTAAGAAAGTCTACAACCCTGTTCTTATTCCAGGAAAGCATCTCAAAGAGGGGGATTTCCAGAGTTGCTTGAATCTGGATGGAAGGTGACTTTTTAAATTGCAATTGATGCTACATAAATTCGCTCTAAAGGATTTTGCCTTCCTTTCAGGTAGTTGCAGAAATGGTGAAAACACACCCTCGGTCTGACTGGCATTTCAGTGTCTCCGGGCTCTGTCCTGCACTGAGGAACTGGCTTCAGGTCACATCATACTAGTCCAACCAAAAGTGGGAGTAACTTGAGGCTCCAGGAAGCTCCCTCTGGATGCCATGTGGGTACAGACAACAGGAATAGTTTCCCAGGGCTTCTCTGGGAATCTTCCTTCCAGTTTCTGGGCTTTTGCTTTCCTTCCTGTACCCTTCAGATTGGCCTCATTGGTTTACATAGTTCCGATGTATCAATGCAGCTGATGGCATTTCTTAAATATATTAATGGAGAGGGAAACTGCAGGAAAATCTTAGGAGAACTTTTAGAGGCACACTGGTTTTTATTCAAGCTAGTGTGCATTTTGATCATACATGCATTAAATTAATATACTACATTTTCTGCTTTTCTCCATTGTGAATAGATCTTGGCCAAAGTAGAAAAAAGTAATAGCTTGATAAAAGATAACTGATTTGGCAATTTTCTGTACTTCCACACTAGGTTAGTTATCAGAAATGGGTCCATCCTAGCACATGAAAGGACTGTTTATTTAGAAGACACAACAGATTTAACACCTAGGTCCCACTGGACTGTCATCCTGCTTGCCTTCTTTCCTTAGTTTCTTCTAGCACATGTCTGTCGAGCGCCTACAACAGACAGATATTGCCGTAAATGTGGGGGATGCCACAGTGAACAAACAGAGCTCACGTTGCTTTCTAAAGCCCTGGAAGGGCCATTTTACTTGGTCGTGAAATCCTACAGTCACCGGACATACCTGTCAAGGTGCCAGGCAAGCACAGGGTCGATGCCCCCCGTTAAGCTGGCCCAGGTAAACTGCTGTCGCTGCAGCCTCCCAGCCATGAGGACCGTTGGGAAGAACCCATTTGCCATAAAGTACAATCAGCGTTAAAAGAAATGACCATCAGTAAATTTGGGAAGTCTTGGTGTTAATTTCCTCACCTCACTGTGTGCATATGAGCAGCCTGCCGTTTGCATATGGGAATCCTGTCATAACAGTTTCAGGAAGTGATTTGTTAATAATCAAGTCCTCCGAATGGCCCTAAATCGGTAATTGATGTGGGTCTGGGTAAAGCAACCCTTCCACCCGCCTATTTTGGGGACCATTTTTTTTTGGCAGAGTTGGAGCCAGAATGAAAACTAGCCATCAGAACAAAATTTAGGACAGCTGGGATGCTTTGCAGCAAAGACTTTTGGCTCCACAGTTCAAATAATCACAATAGCAGCTCAATTTAGCCTTTGGCTGAATGGCTTTGGCAGGGCACAATGAAAAATAATTATTTCATGGCCTGCTTATTTTTCCCTTAACCAATAAACTCTCAGACCTCTTCAGGCTTATGTAAATATTCTGCTATAGATGAGGCTGAGCACACCATAATATCCCTATTTAGGAAATGGTTGTATTTCACCCTTGTGGGGCAGAAAGCAAAACTGAACAACTTTTTTTGCAATATCTATTTAGAATGGGGTAAAGAAAAAAGATGGGAGGAAATTTAAGGGCTGGGAAGTGAGTTGATGGTCACAGCTGCAGAGAAAAAAAAAATGATTGAGTCCCAGGCCCTCACTTAGAAGACAGGGCATTAGGATATGTGATTGTATCTGATGTGGAAGGACCAGTACTGCACAGAGTATGCTAGAGAATTCTAAGTGTAGTATAATAATAGCCAGAAACAACAGTCTAATCCTTTGTAGCTGGAGCTTTTTAGACTATATATAACGGTTCTCAAAACTTTTAAGTGCTCGCCTGATTTGCTCTCATTACATTCAATGTGCTGTAACTCTCTGTCCCTGTTTCGTAAGTCCTTGCTTTTGCCCTGGGTGATTTGAATGGAGTCATGGAGAGGTGGATGGGATAAATTAAGCATGGCAACAAGCCTAACAGCTACCCTAGACCTGAAGCCCTTCAAGGTTTTTGCTCAAATCCCATCAATCTCCTGTATTTTATATCTGCCTTTTCAGGTCAGCTGCATCTTAGTGCAGGGCATCTGTGCCACTCGATGACCAATTCCTATTCAATGAGAGTCCATGGCTTTGCAGCTCAGTTGGTCAAAGCAGAGTGTTAATGAGATCGGTCATGGGTTTGATCCCTGCAGGAGCCGGTTAACTCCATTCTGTCCCATTAACCCCCGCCAGCTGCCTTAGGTCATGGGTGGAACGGGGTGAGAGAGTGTGAATGGCTCACCCAAACCATCCCCTCTACTGGGCAACCAGCTAGTCCCACTAAAGGTGAGTCCAGAGTGTTTTGTCTCTGAATGTGAAGAACAGCTGATGAGTCATTAGGAACAGAGAAACAACCATGGACGTTGTAATGCTGCTTCCTCTCCCGTGTGTGAGTGTGTGTGAGTGTGTGTGTGTGTGTGTGTGTGTGTGTGTGTGTGTAGGCTGGGGAGGGGGTTGTGTCTCTCCTATTATGAACGGGTAGGTTTTCCTTGCTTAGAAAAGCCTGCACCAAATCAAACTCGTACTATGATCCTCATGATCTGGGTTTAATGAGTGGCATTTCTTCTTAAATATCTTTAAAAAAAATCGGTAGTCATGTCATGCATCAGGATGAATTTCTAAATGTAAATGAGATTCTCCCAGTAATTTATTTACATTTGTTTTCAGCACAACAAATGAGACATCACGTAGCTTCATAATTTTCCATGACCGAGTCACCAGCATGCAGTGTGTAATTTACCATGATTTAAGATGCTTATCCTTAGATTTTTCAACAGTACCTTATAAGGCTTAAACAAGAGAAGGAGATCCTCTGTCCCATTTCCCTTCTTGCTCTCCTTGTCCTTGCCCCCCTCAAATAAGCATTCTGAGCCCACTAAAATCTGTAATTTTGCTTGCATATTTGAAGGATCTTATGTGCAGGAGAGAAGATATTGGTCATTTTTGCATTTCAAGAAGGGCTGTCATTGCTGACTCTGATATGAAGAAGAGGAAGGCAGTATTTCCCCTTGATATTAGAATGTGTGAACTTGCATAAGTTATTGTTCAAGACTCGGTTTCCTCATTGTAAAATGTTATAGTAGATAATCTCTACAGTGTAGCAGTAGTACCCTAGGCCAGGGTAAAAGGTAGATGTGTCTGATGGCTAAGTGAATACTTTGCAAGCTCCACCCAGCAATTTTGCAAATTTGTTAGAATTTCCTGGCATTTTCCTACATTTTTATTTTTGAAATATGGCGCTGTGATACCAGCTCTCCTTAGTTGTTTGCACTGGTTCTCAAATAAAGAAGAAGAGATCCTCTAAAATTCAGAGTGGGGCACTTAAGTGCTATTTTTCCCAAGGGTATTTTTCATGTTGCTTTGTTGACCTGAGCGACACCCTACGAGGGCACACCAGGACTCTCGTGATTGAGGGAAAAAAAGGAAGAGGAGATTATTGTCTTTTATTCTGTGGCTTTGAGTGAGCCTGTGGCTGAAGTTCTATGGTGAGTGGTATAAGGGGATACTAGAGTTCTGGTCATTTTATCTGGGTACTTGATCATGAATAATTCATGGGGCAAAAAAGAAGAACCTGCCGGAACCCAAACAAGCAACAAAAACAAGAAAGTAAGAAAAACCTCCAAATAAAACCAAAAAAAAAAAAGAAAACCTAAAAAAGAAGGTCCCCAAGGAAAAAATTTCTAGTTTTGTTTCATAAACAAGTATCAAGAGTTTTCTATGGGACAGACACTGTACCAGGCATGGAGGATGCCTAAGGCGTAGGCACCCCAACCCGGACCATGCTCTGCTCCCCCTAATGTAAAAGAAAGCTGCATTTCTAGAAAGAAAAAAAATGATAAGAGAAGGACCAATGTGACAGGCTCAATGATTCTTAATACATCAAGTATCTTCTTTAATTATTTATCCCAAATTCAGCTGGGATGTACTAGTTAGTAGTATCTCTGAATAGTATCCCAATACTGTGGGCATGTGTTTTGATCCTGGCAGGCTGTCTTGTGAAGAGCATCCTTGCACGCTCTGAGCATTGCTCTGCTTGGAACAGTTTTCTCCTTGCCATGGATATGTTGTATGGCAGGTGTCAGGGTTTTTCAGGCATTGGCATGTAGAGCACATGTTACCCACACATAAAATTAACTACTTTGGAAGCAACGGGAAAGTCACGCCTTTATGGAAAAGTCTAGAAACCTAAGTCCTTCCTCTGCCTCTTGTTCTCTCTGAAAGCTTTCCAACTTAAAATCAAGATCTCATTGGCTAAATTCTAATCTTTGTCAAGTGCCGGTGATACCTGCTTCAATGCTTCATATTTCTAGTTTTGTTAATAGACTAAGGTCAAATGCAGAGAATTCCGTTTAACTTGGACACCAGCCCATTTAAGGGTTTTTCCGTGAGAACCACAGTTAGAGAACAAACCTAGAATTTATCTTTGAAATGAAAGACATCTGATCTTTTCTCTAAATTTAAAGTGAGCGAGTGGTGGCTTCTCATTTACCTTTAACGTCTATAGTTTCGATAAGAAGTTATTAATATATGAAGCACTTTTATTCATGAAGCAGATACTAAGCACACACTTTGTAGAGTCCGTGCTAGTTTGCTGTATGGAAGATGCCTATTGAAGAGTCAGGGATGATGAGTAGACACATATTTACAGCAAGTAATCGTGGCCCATGTGGCAATGTGATCAGAGCATGACAGCAAACAGCAGGCTTAAGGTGGTGTGATTGTTTGGAAGAAACATGAAAAAGTCAAGGTGGATTTCAGAGGTGAAATTTTGTTTAAGAGGATGTACAAAAGATGAGTAATAGTCACCTGGCAGACCTAATTGGTAAGACAGTCATAGTAAAAGGTACAGGGTGAGAGCAACATGCAGAGGGAAGAAATTGTGTATTCAAAGAACTGCAAGTCATTTGGCTGGATTTGGAGTATGGACTTTGTAGACTGGCACAGAGGGGGCTGAGCAAGAACACGAGACTGGAAAGAGGGGCCGGAACCAGCTCAGAAAAGGCCTTGCACATGACATTAAAAAGTTAGATCTTTGTTGAGGAGAATTATGGAAGAGCATTGAAGGATTTTAGCAGAAAGGGGACACATCTCAATTTTCATTTAGAAAAGATCACTCCCTCCTGGGAGCAGGATGGATTGGATGGGAACAGGAAGACCAGTCTAACAGGC